GTAGTATTTTAAGTGAGTCTGCAATACTTTTGAACAAATTCATTCATCACTTCTCTCCAGCTTTCCCTGAAGATGGGCAAATCCTAGATCTCCATACTTTTCCTCAACATAGTAGAAAAATAGACCCAATAAACATGAAATTTGGTCTTCCAGATGAGGGTTGATTGGTTTTTTTTATTTAGGTATAGTTGACATATGTCATATTAGTTTCAGGTGTACAACATAATGATCCAATATTTATATATTATGAAATGATCACATAGTCTAGTTAATATCTACTATACATGATTACAGAATTTTTGTTTTTGTGATGAGAATTTTGGAATCTAGTCTCTTAGCAACTTTCAAATATACAATTCAGTATTTTTTTATAAATTTATTTAAATTAGTTTCAAGTATACAGTACATTGGTTAGACATCTATAATGTTCATAAAATGATCCCCCCAATTGCTCCCTCCCTCCCCCGGCTCTCCACTTAGCCATCATCATATTAATGCTAACCGCATTCCCTCTGCCATGCTCCCCGTGCCCAACTATCAACTACTAATTTGTTCTTCCTTAACCCTTCACCCCGTTCTCCCAGCCTCCCAACCCTCCTCCCCTCTGTCACCAAATTGTCCACTATTTTTGTGAGTCTGTTTTTGATTAGTTTGTTCTTTTTGTTCCTTAGATACCACATATAAGTGAAATCATATGATATTTATCTTTCTCTGTCTAACTTGTTTCACTCAGCATAATCTCTAGGTCCATCCATGTCATTGCAAATGGTAGGATTTCATTTTTTTTTTAAATGGCTGAGTAATATTCCATTGTACATATGAACCATACTTTATCCAATCGTCTGTCGATGAGCATTTAGGTTGCTTCCATATCTTGGCTATTGTAAATTGTGCTGCCATGAATACTGGCATGCATAGATATTTATGAATTATTGTTTTGGTATTCTTTGGATAAATACCCAGAAGTGCAATTGCTGGATCAAAAGGTATATCCATTTTTAATTTTTTGAGGAACCTCCATACTGTTTTTCACAGCAGCTGTACCAATTTGCGATCCCACCAACAATGTATGAGGATTCCCTTTTCTCCACATCCTCACCAACACTTGCTGGTTTTTGATTTATTGATGATAGCCATTCTGACAGGTGTGAGGTGATACGGTATTTTTAACTATAGTCTCTATGCTGTGCATTATGTCCCTATGACTTATTTTATAACTGGAAGTTTGTATTTTTTGACTTCCTTCACCCATTTTACTCAGGCCCCACTCTCCCCCACCTCCAGCTGTTCAGAGAAGTATTTTAAATAATTAAAGCTAAACTAAAAAAAAAAAAAAACAAATGCCCTCACAAAACATCCTAGAGACATGAACTCTGGATTAAGTATTAAGAATCCTGGGTTTGGAGAGTGGCTCCACCAGTTACTAGCTGTTATGTTGGAGAGCAAGGTCATTTAAATAAAATAAGGGAACTGTTTGTTTTTTAAGACTGCTAGAGTCACCTTTAAGACTAAGGTTTTATGTCCTGCCCTGAATCCTGTACAGTGAAGATCAAATGAGATATGATGTGTTAAAGCACTGAGAGGCAGGACAACACTTTGGGAAAAGTACATACAGTACTTTAGATATGACACACCTGGGTTCTCGGTCTTGCTCTATTTACAAAATCTGTGACCTCAGGCAAATTACCTAACCCTTTGAGCCTAACTTAATCAACACTGCGTCACCAGGTTATTGTGAGAATTAAATGAATAATTCAACCTTAAATCCTTTCTGGAACAACATGACAGATGAAGTTATATATATATATATATATCAGTGAGATAATTATATAACACAGTCCATTGCAGGTGCTCAAATATTACAAAAAAAAAAGTCACTTTGAACTCAAGGTGCTATACAATTATTAATATATTCTTATTTATCTATGAGTTGGAGGCACGTACACAGTTGAGCTGTCTCAATTTCACATTTCCTTTCAAACCTTTATTTGAAATGCCTTTAACCTGACATTCTCTGGGGGGAAATGGAAAGGGTGATGGTCAAGAGTGAAAAAGAAGAGTGGAGGTGACAGAAGTGATTAAAAGGATAAAGAAAAGGATTTGTCTTGACTCGGGAACTGAGTCTTCAGAGTTCTCAAATGTTTGTCTGGCTAGAGGTTAAAGAAAAGAGAAATGCAACCAGCTCCTTGTCCTCTGACCACTAACAGCGCTGAGGGCGCCTCCCTCCCTGAAAGCTTTGACTTTACTGTCCAGCCACCTCCACCAAAGCAAACAATAGTCACCACTTTGTTTCTTAATGGCACTGGGACTGAAGAGGAGCAGGTAAAGGTGATCTCACTTGCAAAACTCTTGGACTTAACCCTACTTTGTTGTTCCTCCTGGCCCAGCCCTTTCTCTCCCTCACACCCCTGTCTGTACCCTGTTTTCAGGATAGGAGTTTTCAAGATTTTTCTTCCTTTGGCCCAGGAATTGGAAAGAAGAATCGGGGAACAGATTTATATCGGAATACCAGGCTATTAGGTGAAAGGTCGTAAACAACTCTGTCTGCAGGGCAGTTCAGAGCATGCCTTGGCTACAGGCCTGGTAGGCAGCTGCTGCTGCCAAAGCAAAATAGATTTTTGGCATTCAAGGGAAACCAGGCATAACACAGCAAACAAGTGGTCTGTACCGAATTTTGCAAAATGGGAAAGAAAGAAGAAACTGGAGCCCAAGAGAGGAACTTAGAGCAAGAGAGAATTGTATTAACATTTTTTAAAGCTCAAAAACATTCAGTATTTCATAGATGTGCCCAATTAATATCAGCATTCCCTTCTTCTGAGATATCCCTCCTCCTACCTCCTCCAAATTTACGTAGTTACATATCACACAGTTTAACAATATCAATTTGCGTATTTGTAAACAATTTGGTGTTTCATATTTATGCACTTTCAAAACTAAAACTTCTCTGAGAAGCCGTCATTTTGAATTTAAAAAATTTCTTTAGTGCAAGTCTCACCTTCCCTGTTCCACATAATTCAATCAATATTGTTGACAGATTAAAAACAACTCAGGCCCCATGGGTGTCGCCTCAAACCCACACACCCTAAGGATCAACATGTTCCCTTTTTTGTCGGTGAAAGTCGGTGTGTGTTTGTGTATGGGTCTGTGTGTTTTCCAACAGAGTCTTGATGCCTGATTCTTGGGCTTGCTTAACATTGGGGTTGAGTTGTAGTAACCTGTTAGCCTTAGGGTGTCAACCCAGTTTGGGGGAGAGGAAGAAGGATCCTTAGCAGCTATGAGTAGCCTTCTTTTGGCTGAGAGAGTAGGATTTCTGTATGTTCTAATGCTTATTTACTTCCCCATCTCAATCTTGAGGACATTATCTTCCTCTTTCCAGCAGAAAAAAATAAGGTAATAATCTGCTGATGCCCCAAAACAGAAACAGGAGGAGCTCAGAAATCAAAGAAAAGGGGAAATAATCCTTGTATCTCTGCATACAAGTTTTCCTTAGTGCATTTATGAGTAAGTTCTCAGGAGTCAGCTCTTGGGGATCTCATGGCCAGCTAAGGGAAAATCCATCTGATAGAGAACCAAATGACAACACAGGAGGAGACAGGGGCTCTTTTAGATTGAACGTATTATGTTCTAGTGACCCATCTTCTTCCTTTCTTACCAATTTCTAAACGGCTTAAGAAAAAATTATCAAAAAAGAGAGACGTTCTTCCTTCAAACAGGAACACAGCCGTCTCCCCACTGACCCTGGTAATAAACAAGAGAATTTTTCTGCTTTTAACTAAGGCTGTGGGCTACAGATTTAGGTACATACGTTTGATTCTGAGCTGGAAAGGGGTTGAAAACAAGAAAGAGTGAAAGTAAATCACAAAGAAAGTGAAAAGGGTGTAGCATCTTCCCCTCTTCCCGGAGCAGGCAGTGAGAGATAATCAGAGCCTAAAGAGATCACGAGGCGACTGGGGGAACATAAACAAAGTGTTCCCCAACTTTGCAGGTAGAAACTGAAAAGATGAGGGGATAAGCAACAGGATGTGAACACGCCCTTACCATTTCCGTTCCAGAGAACAGAGAGAACAGACTCGAGGGTACAGGGGGTGTGGAACAGCGCGAGCAAGAGGGAAGGGAGGGGGAGGGCCGATCGGTCCCACACACCCGCTGCCCAAATGAGGGCTTTGGAGAGGCTTAAATTTTGTGACCCGTTCTCCTTGCCGTCTCAGACAGCAGGTTTTTGCTTGGTTTTGTTTGAGGTGCGAAGAGAAGGGCAAAGGGGATCTTCCCGCACAGTGACAACAGCGCTCTCTGTCCCCTGCCCGATCCTAAAGGATTCTTGGAGCTCTAGGGTTGTTTTTTCACACCACTTGCGACTCGTGAGCCGGGAATAAACGGGCGCCTCTCAATCAATTGCCCTGGCTAAGGCGAGGCATGAAATTCTCTCAGAAGCGCATTTTCCTTTAAGCCCCAAGCACGTTCCCAGCCCAGAGGCACCCGCACACGCCCTCCGCGGACCAAGGTGATCCTAAAGGATTCTTGGAGCTCTAGGGTTGTTTGTTCACACCACTTGCGACTCGTGAGCCGGGAATAAACGGGCGCCTCTCAATCAATTGCCCTGGCTAAGGCGAGGCATGAAATTCTCTCAGAAGCGCATTTTCCTTTAACCCCCAAGCACGTTCTCAGCCCAGAGGCACCCGCACACGCCCCCCGGGGACCAAGGCCCAGGATGCATTTTAGGGTCAGCGAGGTCTTCCTTTCCCCCCTCCCCAACCCCACCCCAGGAAAGCCGCTCGGTGCTCCCCCCGCACGCGCCCACACCGCCGGGCAGCGAAGCACAACAACCATTTTCCCCGCCAGGAGCACACCATGTCCACGCGCCGCTGCGGCCTCGCTGATTGGCCGGGCTCCTGGTAAACAAGGCGCGGGCAGCCAATGGGAGGGCTGTGCACGAGGGCAGCACGAGCCTCCGGGCGAGCGCTCGCGTGGCGCCGCCAGCGCCGGCTACTATATAGATCGGTTTCCGGCTCGTGGTTGGAACTACTCTTTCCTGTTCGCGGATGGGGTGCAGCTGACCGAGACTCTGGGCGCTCCTCTAGCTGCCGAAGGAAGGAAAGCTTCTTTTTACTTTTGAGATTCCTTGGCCTAACCGGCAGCTTACGTTGCTTTGACATCTTTTCAAAAATTTGAGTAGAGAGTTGACGAGTGGAATAATTTTAAATTATTGCGAGGGGTCCTCGGATTTGAGGTTTTGTTTTTTTCCGCCCTATCGTATTTAACTCTTGAGCTGACCCAGCCCAATCATGGTGATGTTTAAGAAGATTAAGTCTTTTGAGGTGGTCTTTAGCGAGCCTGACAAGGTGTACAGCAGTGGGGAGAAGGTGACTGGCCGGGTGATAGTGGAGGTGTGTGAAGTCACTCGAGTCAAAGCTGTCAGGGTCCTGGCTTGCGGAATGGCCAAAGTCCTCTGGATGCAGGGATCCCAGCAGTGCAAACAGACCTTGGAGTACCTGCGCTACGAAGACACGCTTCTCCTGGAAGACCAGCCAACAGGTGAGTGGTCCAGAAGGTGGAAGCTGATTTGAGAAGAGAATGGAAATGAATTAGTGGAGCCTGTATTACATATTTGCTCAGGTGGAGTGCTTTAAGTTTTGCCTTGTGTCTCTTCGGTTTTAATTTGCAAACTCCCCCCCACCCCCCAAAAAGGGTGATTTGTGCTTACGGTGCTGTGCTTTGAAGGTCATCCCGCGGGATGGTGACTTAGCTATTTAAAGGGTTTTTTTTGCGTGTGTATGTATAAGTTTAGTGTCTTGTTTAGTTTGCAAGTTTAGTGTCTGAGATGATAGTAGCTTAATTTTTCACATTGTGGGGCTTTGCAACTTTTTGCCCAACGCATCAGAATTTCTCATTTAAGAACAAGGGATGAAAACTGGGGTACTGCAATACTTTGTATGCTGCCCAAGAATTCCTTATCACACGGATGCATTTTCAGTGTAACAAGAAACCGAATGGCTTTTCTCTTCCTTCAGGTGAGAATGAGATGGTGATCATGAGACCTGGAAACAAATATGAGTACAAGTTCGGCTTCGAGCTTCCTCAGGGGTAGGTATCGGCTAAACACATCTTTGGACTTCTCTGTCTCTCAAAATCTTCCCCTCGTGTGATTGCTTTGTGTTCTTAGAAGAATTTTGAAATTAATCGTTTCCTTTAACTTAATACAGGCCTCTGGGAACATCCTTCAAAGGAAAGTACGGGCGTGTAGACTATTGGGTGAAGGCTTTCCTTGATCGACCTAGCCAGCCAACGCAAGAGACAAAGAAAAACTTTGAAGTGATGGATATAGTGGATATCAACACCCCTGATTTAAGGGTGAGGTTCATTTTAAGATTGTATTCTCTTGGGGCTCAGGGATAAGTCAGTGAGTGGTCTTGGGCATTAGATTGAAGCACCTCGAGGAATCAAGTCCTGAGTCATCAAAGGGCGGGGGAGGGGCTGCCTTCTCTGGGCGAGAAGTGGAAAGGAAAGAGATGCAGAGAAAGTGTCTCTAGAAATTCTCAAAACACTTTTCCCCCGCCCATTCTACATAGGCACCTGTGTCTGCTAAAAAGGAGAAGAAAGTTTCCTGCATGTTCATTCCCGATGGGCGGGTATCTGTCTCTGCCCGAATTGACAGAAAAGGATTCTGTGAAGGTAAAAAAAAAAACAAACCTAGAGTTTAAAACAGTAATCTGATAAGTCGGGGACTGTGGGTTTGGGAGACAGAAGAGAAGTCATTTTCTGTACTGAGCATTCCTTTTCCTCTTTCACATTGCCAGGTGATGAAATTTCCATCCATGCTGACTTTGAGAATACATGTTCCCGCATTGTGGTTCCCAAAGCTGCCATTGTAGCCCGCCACACTTACCTTGCCAATGGCCAGACCAAGGTGTTGACGCAGAAGTTGTCGTCTGTTAGAGGCAATCACATTATCTCGGGAACTTGTGCATCGTGGCGTGGCAAGAGCCTTCGGGTACAGAAGATCAGGCCTTCTATCCTGGGCTGCAGCATCCTTCGAGTTGAATATTTCTTGCTGGTGAGTGGGTGAGGCTGGAGAAAGAAATGGTTCGTCTTGCAAAAAAGCAAAATAGCAGTGATGTTTTGTCTGGACCGCCTGCCTAACAAACTTCCATCTTCCTTTCTAGATCTATGTTAGCATTCCTGGCTCCAAGAAGATCATTCTCGATCTGCCCCTGGTGATTGGCGGCAGGTCAGGACTGAGCAGCCGGACGTCCAGCATGGCCAGCCAGACCAGCTCTGAGATGAGTTGGGTAGACCTGAACATCCCTGGTACCCCTGAAGGTGAGCCAGAGCTAATGTCTCGTCTTCTCTTCTGGCCCGTTTGGGTTTGTGAAATTGTGACGATCATTTCCTGGCCAGGCTTCTGATCCCTGTTCTTTTCCTCTCTAGCTCCTCCTTGCTATATGGATATCATTCCTGAAGATCACCGACTGGAGAGCCCCACCACTCCTCTGCTAGATGACACAGATGGTTCTCAAGACAGTCCAATTTTTATGTATGCTCCCGAGTTCAAGTTCATGCCACCACCTACTTACACTGAGGTGAGAACTGTCGGTTTACCACTACATTTGTCCCAAGCCTTCTATAGGAAGTTGACTTGGAGGTGCTTGCTAAACTGTGGTTTCCTTTCAGTTCTAACACTTGAATGTTCCTTTCTTTCTTCTTCCCAGGTTGATCCGTGCATCCTCAACAACAACGTGCAGTGAGCGTGTGGAAGAAAAGAAGCAACTGTACTGTTTCTTTGCATCTCTTCCTGGACTTAGACTTTTTCAGAGACTGAACAGTCTCTATAGTGAGGGGTGGGTCCACCCCAGCCTCTGACTCCCTGGTGTAGGAGGTGATCAGCAGGTAGTCAGTCTCCTGAGCCTTAAAGGGTGTGCACTTGTCCTCAGCCAGTGAGATGTTGTGACATCGGCGTGTTTGCTTGGATGGGTTTAAAAACACACTAAGAAACTCAGGCCCATCCCATTTTCTCAGCTCTTCTCGACCTTGTGCTATGTGGAACAGAGCCAATTTAGCAAACTGGGGAAATGGGAAAAAAAATCATGGCCAAAACTTTGGGGGGGAAAAGGAGGTTTTTAAAATCACTGTTGCCCTTTATACACTTACACAAAAAGAAAACAGGGCTGATTTGGTCTGGACTTTGGAGAGAGCTTTCTATGTGAATTCAAGGGAAGAAGCCCTAAGGTTGTTCTTGCTTAGAATGTACTTTAATCTGGCTCAAAGCAGTAGTAACTGTGCCCCACCAAAGGTCTTAAAAGCCATTTTTAGAGCCTTATTGCACTGTGTTCTCCTGTTGCAAACATCATGTGGGAGAATGTGTTTTTCTGTTCATGTGACTCCTTGGAATTGATTCTGAGGTGATGTTTTTAGCACTTTAGTTCCTGTTAAAAAAAATTTCTATCTCAAATGTAAGCTAAAGCTGGTCTATGTCTCTAGGGGTAAGCACAAGGACAAAAAAAAAAAAAGTTATTCATTACTTTTGAGACTTTGTCCCAGTATACAGAATTCTGTAGTTCTGACACTCTAATTACATGAGAAGGGTTGCTGCTATCAGCCTTGCCCACTGTGACTTCTTCAAACCTAAGGAGGAACTCTAGATCAAGATGCCCCCAACGTTGGGATCAGAGCCTCCGGACATTGCCATAAGAAACTCGAGGGCGGGGCTTCACGAGCTCCGAGGGCCCCTCTTCTTGCCCAGTGTTAGGAGCCTGGGGATGTTGACAGACCCTCTCACTGCGGCCGCTAGCACTTGGGACAGTCACCCTCAGCCTTAGCACTTTCTTCACTGTCCTGTGTCAGAGCACTGAGCTCCACCCTTTTCTGAGAAAGTGTGGGCTGAAGGTGGTTTAGTTTGTTTTTTAATTGTGTATCTTTTTGTATGATAAAAAACTATATATTTTGTACTTAACCGGATATATTTTCACCGCAGGTAGGGGTATTCTTTGTAAAAAATGAAAAAAAATAAAAATTTTTTAATGATAAGAACTGTGTTTTCTTGTCTGAGAGATGGTGCTGGAGAAGTTATTGATAATGTGCCTAAAGGAGCATTTCCTCTAGTTCACAATTTGTTTTTGAAAAACATTGTCGAGCAACCCTAATGATTCTAGTCAGTGGGGTTGGGAGGTGAAGTGGGAAGGAGTTTGAGTTACATTTAGTCTCTTCCAATTCACCAGAGAACTAGTCGAGATCTGGTGGTCTAAGCTAGCTTTCCACATACATCCACAGCTAATTGTTACTGAAGTCTTAGAATTTCGGAGTGTGTGAGGGAGGTGTTTTGGTCTTTGATTTTTAATGAGCTTGAAATAACAGGGAAACAAGGTTTGTGAGTATTTGATAGGAAAAGTTGATGGTTCTATATTTTATAAATCTGGTTTATAGACTAAGATGATCATTTAGGACTTAAGGATTTAGAGTTACAAGTATTAAATTCTTTGAAGGCTGCTAGCATTTTTTATCACTGCAGTTTCTACCACAGTTCCTATCCAAGCACATTTAACTTGGTAAATGTTTGCTGAGTATTCAACCCCACCCTCATCCCTTTGGTTATGTATGCTTCAGCAGTTCATATTTCTTCCTTGTAGGATAAAAACAATAGATCGATACCACAATTCCACCTCGAATGGAAATGATTTTTATTATTCTAAAGTAGTGCCTAGGATGAGAAACCCCGAGATGGCAGGGGTTAAGATACTTTCTGATTTCTAGCTCATTAAAAAACTTTTGTACACAACTATTCCTGGCCCTTATGTCGGGTTTGGCTTTTCTGTGGACCTCTACATACTAATTCCAAACCACAGACTCCTGGAAGTTCATAAAATTAATGTGGATTGAACAGAGTGAAATTGAAAAATTCTTTTCCGCTTTAAATCTTTGTGTCTGCCATTCTCAGTAGCTCTTTTGCCCTTTCCCTGCTCTCTCTGTTAGTTTCTCCTCACAAAGGTGTCAAAGTCTCTAGCTCTCTCTTGCCATGGTGCCTCTCACCTTTATTCTTGCCTCTGCCTCCTCTTTTTCTTACCTATTCAAGAATTTAGTGGCTCCTCCCCTTTTCAAATCTGTGACCAGGAAACTAGGTCAAAGTTGATGGAAATGTTTTTTTCTGCAGCTGGTTTTCCAGGGTCTGGAGGGATGGAGCGAGAACAAGAACACGCCAGAGTGCGGGAGGAAGGGATGGAGAGATCCCGGGGCGCACAGCCTGGCTGTTTGCATACTAGATCTGAGAAGGGGACGGCTGGGAGACAGTAGATAATACCCAGGTCTGCTAGAGGTTTGATCCTGGAAGGGCCAGAACATAGGCATCCCCTCCTAATCCCCTAATACCTCAAATCCAGCTCTGCCCAATAGAACTTTCTGTGGTGATGGAAATGTTCCGTATCTGAGATGATACAGGAGCCACTAGCCACACGCGGCTATCGAGCTCTGAAATGTGGCTACTGAGACCGACAGACTGAATTTTTATTTTTGTTTAACTTAACTTTCATAATCTCCATGTGGTTAGTAAACTAGCACAACGAACAGTACAGCAAAACCTGAGAAAAGAAATCAGCAGCTGTTCACCCAGAGGAAACGCTTCCCTAGAGCACAAAAAGCCCCTTTGTGCTCTGGACTTCCTTTTGCTGTGGGTCTTCCTTTCCCATGCTCTTCTCATATGCTGTTTAATTTTTCAAGAGCTGTAACCGACGTGTCTAGCCATTAGAGGAGATCCAGTTCCTAGTATCGTTTATTCATTAGGTCCAATCTGGTGCAGGAAGATTTGGGAGAAAACAGAAAGAAAACTATCTCAAGACAGAACAGAGCTAGAGAAAGTAAAATGAGCATGAAAAGGGCAGGTCCTTGGCTCCCCCCATACCTCTGGACAGACTGGAAACACGACAGTGCAGTGACTCGGTGAGGCATTGGGAGGCAAAGCGTGGGGAGAGGAGCTGCCCCAGCACCTGGTCAACAACAAAGAAAAACAATCACATGGGAGCCAAAGGATAAGAGAGGGGTGAAGGAGGGACTTTTGTCCAGCTCTTTCAACAGCATACAGACCTTTTCCTCACGCTCTTTCCTTGGACCACCCCTAGGTGATGGAATGCATAAGGTGGATAAGGAAAACATCTTACTGACCCTTTGATGACTCATCACCTGTACGGAGCACCATGACCTCAATAGTTCCAGACTGGGAGAGCAGAAACTTTTGTTTTGGGCGATGGCTGCAGATCCATCCAGGGCTGCTGGTCCTGGCCCAGCAGATAAGTCTATAGCCTAGAAAAAGTTCAAGGATCAGCCTTCCAACGCATAGGGTGGTAGACAAGCACATAGACTCTGGAGCCAAACCATCTCAATTGAAATCTTACTTCTACCACTTAACAAGCTATATTTGGGCACCTCGTTCAATCTCTCCATGCTCCAGTTGATCTGTAAAATGGGAGATAATAACAGTTGCTACCTCAGATTATTATTGTGAAGATTTAAAAAATATATGCGAAGTATTAGAACAGTAGCAAGTAAAATGCTTGTTACCTAAAATAAACAAGGAGGCGTATCCACCACCGCCACTGCCATCTCGCTAAGTTCGCTCCCAGGCATGTCCCCAGAATTGTTCTTCCTCTCTGACCTATGGGAAGTAAGGCCGTTCTCTTTGTTCCTCTCGATTTCTTTCTTGTTTGGGGAGCAAAACAGTGTGAGAAGAGGCCCGTGTACGGAAGCCGACTCCCCCTGGACTCATCGTGGTGGAGGACAGGTAGCCTGCTGTCGGCACTCCCATCCCTAGGCCGGGATAGGCCCTCTGCTCACCCCTGGCATCTCATGGGATAGCTCTGGGAGCACTAGAGTTCTCTCTCTCGTTCTCTCTCTCATACTCCCAGTGTGCCTCGCAGGCCTCTGGAATCTTCTGGTATTTAACTGAGCTTTCTTGACTTTTCGGAATACAACTCCAGGGAAAGCTTCCTGGCGTTTGGAGCGATAAACGGGAATAGAGAGTCCTGCATATACAGTGTGACATGACATCCTCATTTGAAGGTATTGCATCTCGTTGGGTTTTTTTTTTTTTCCACGGAGGTGGACTAGACTGAGCAGGACAAAACCCAATGAACGCGAGCCCACCGATGAGGCTCGGTTTAGCCTACTTAGATGATTCCTGTTTTGTCCTGGCCTTTCCCTTGGCTTGACCCTGCTATACTTTCCCACTAGGCTTGTTATGTAAGGAGAAAAGAATAAATAGATTCCGAAGGCTGGGATTTTTCTGACTATCAAGTGACTGGTCATCTCCAGGCAACTGAGTGATGGAAGAAAGAGGAGGACAGATAACATGGGACATAGTTGTGGGTCCCACGTGCTTTGAGCCCTGGGATGTCAGGCCAGGTCTGTTCTCATTCTTCACTGGGTGATGTAGCTACGGACTATCCCTCCAAGTCAATTAAATGGTCAGTAAACAGGTTCTTGGAAATGTCTGGCTGCGTGCCCAGTGTGGGTATTTTTAACCTCCCGGACAGATGGACAGAGGAAGGATTTCAGTTGCTGGGAGGGTAGGTGGGGTCAGGGTCGTGAGAACTGTGTTTCCCTTATATGGTTCTGTGGGTAAAGACCCCTCCCCCTCCCCTGTCTAAATTTGGACTTCCTCCTGCATCTATCCAGACTCACAGGTAATTCTTCCTTTGTCTCCTGTTCTCTCATTTCTCTCTATCCCTGGTCTTTCATGCTTGACTCACCTTCCAACTCTGAGGACGGCTGGTTCTTGTTCCAGGCCACAAGATGTTTTTAGCTCAATATCCATGTAGATCAGGGAGACGATGGCTGGGCAGTGACCGGTGGCTCCCCTGGAGAAAGGCGGAGCCTTCCAGCAGTACCCAGAGGCTTCTTTTCAGTTCTCCCTCCCCAAGCTGTCCTGCAGGAGAGCTCCAAATGCTCCAGCAACCTCATGCACCTCACTGTCCCCAACTCTTAGGAACAGAATTTAAGACCTTGGGAGCCCAGATTTGGGCCTCGTTTGCTTTAGAAAGTAGAAGAGATGGTGGTAGAGGTCAGAGGTGGCCAATGGGGGAGCCCATGGGTGGAATCAGCTTGCTGACATCTAGAAACCTGTATAGTTTCTTCCCGAAAATGTGAATTGGTTATAAACATTTAAAGACCGAATTTCATTAAAAGCTACTGTTCTGACTTCTCTTAAAAAGCAGCCATATGCGATAACACTGAGCTCGCATTCCTTCACGGCATCAACCTGCTGGAGCCGGTGAGGCCCGGCCGCTCTTATTTGCCGGTTCTGTCCACTCCCTATTGCATTACACTCACCTGCTTCGCTCCTTCGTACCTGCCTGACTCCTGTCTGGCGCTTAGGTTTATCTTAGGTTGTCACTTCTGCTTGAAGTAGAGCTTCTCAAATATTTCCTCTGAAGGACCCTTAAGATTAGGGAGAGTGAACCATTTCCCCCGGGACTTCTGGAGCAGTCCAGAGTAGCCTGTCACAAGCCAGAAATGTCTTTGAAGTATGTATTTTAGGTTTAAAAAGTGCACATTTTTATTTATATCATGTAATATATTTGTGTCGTTTTAGTATAAAAATAATGTATCCCTCCCCCCCACCCCCCCACCCCCACACACAGCAGATCTTAAAAGTAAAATGGACACTCTGGAAGATGCACCACGTGTATTGTGTGGCTCCAAATACTCCTCACCACATCACTCATGAATAACCCAATTTAAGCAGCACAAAGCTAAAGACATAAGGCGGAGAGAGACATGGAAAGAAAGACATGGAGAGAGTCGAGAAGAGAAAAAGAATCTCAAAGACAATGAGTGTGAGGGACACGCTCTCTCCTTGGCACTAAGTCATCCTTCCCGGCCGGACCCAAGCCAGCTCCTGAGAAGTCTGCAGATGTCCCCGATATCTCTGGACCGGTGTTGGAGCGGTGGCTCTGAGCGAAAAGCAAGTTTCAGAATAGGAGCCAAGTAAGGGAGAGGTGAGGGGCCAAGAGCAGCCAAGTATTGTCAGACGGGAAAGATTGTCTAAGGATCAGGGGAGAGGCTTAGGGACAGGGAGTGGAGGGCCTCGAAAAGGGCCGGTCAGCGTTTGCCCTTCCTCCCAAGGAGCCCATCTTTGCTTCACTCCCTCTTACCACCCCTGCTTGAGAAAAATGAGGTAAAAGAGAGGAGGGAATTTCCTCCCGGCTACATCTCTGGCCATAGCAAGAGCGTAGGAGGATGAGTACTGGGGCTTCTTTTCCTATCCAAATGGGATTCCATCTATTCTCTCTAAGATGGCAAATCCCCCAGGTCTGTGTCCCAGACTGAGGTGAGTTCATTTCCCCGACCTCTTCTGGTGAGGCAAAGACAGGTCTAACTGATGATCTCCCTTCCGTTCTGGTAATATCGATGCTGCCCTGAGTGTAACAACGTTAAAGACAGAATTTGGGTATTTTCTCCTTTTGTCCACTGTATACCAAGAGAAATGAAATCACAGGATGGTAAGATTCAGGAAGAGTCAGGGGTTGAAGTTTTGGGAAATCCAGCCCACAGCTCAGGCTCTGGGAGGAGGGGTGGTTCGAGAATGGAGACCAGTCCTGGACCCGGAGGTCTTGGAGACACAGCCCCTTCCTGCACTGGTCAGGACTAGGTTTGAGAAACCTCTGGATTCCTTGCCCCAAAGCTGTGAGTTCTCAAGGTGTTTGCACTTAGCCTCTCAGGTCCCGCAGTCAAGGTTGGATCACTGCCTTTCTCCTCCCTCCAGGATGAAAAAGGGGCAAATTAAGTCTTGTCGGGGGAAAAGGCAAAGGCTTTTCTGAGGTGACACTAGGAAACTAGGACTTCTTATTTCCAGCTCTTCAACCCAAATGACCTTCGGGAAAAAAAAGCGAGCCTCACTAGGGGAAAGGTTACTGGAGAAGGGGTCAACATTGTCTGGCCAAATTAGCTCACTGACCGTTAGCATTCCTTTCCAGCTCATTCCTCTTTCCTGTCCTCTGGCCAGACATGTCACCCCTCAAGGGTGACAAAGAAGATCTGCCCCATTGGCTCCTTCCTCAGTCAGAAATTTCTTGGTGGGCTGCTTGATTTAAATCCTGGCTTGCAGATCATGATCTTAAACTCTGCTGAAGGGGTTGTCTCCTTCCTTGCTAGTTTATGGAATTTCTGATTCTCCTGCTGCTCAGGCCGAGGCAGGTTCTTGGAAAGGCCTGGCTAGATGCCCGAATTATCTTTAGCTTGCCCAAGCTGAAATTAAGGTGGGGACACCCGTGGATGGAACGAGTTCAACAAAAGCTGGACCTTTGTCCTGACCTTTGTCCTCAGAACCATTTGGACTCCTGCAGATGGAACAACATGAGCTTGAAGAATTCCTAGTGGACATTCTAGTCCAAAATCTGTTTCATATGTGAGGAATTTGAGGCTTGGAGACCTGACATGACTGTTCTGAGGACACAAAGCTATGGGGCCGTGAGACGAGGACCACAAGCCAGTGCTTTTCCTCATCGAGACGGCAGCCTTTCCCCTCGGCTCCGCTCCTAACCAGGCCGTTCCTACAGAGCCACCCTTCCATCCACTCAACCAGCAAGAAACAGGAATAGAAGAAAGTAATTGTCTTTTCCTCATCAAACCAAAGGTGTCTTACCCATCTGACATTTGACCTTCCGATTTTTTTTTTGATCTTTCAAACTGCACAATGCATTCAGGTCTCCCATCCAGCAGTCTCTCAAACCATCTGAGTCTCTGCACTTAAATTTGCAGACCCCACTCTCAAGCTTCCTGCCCAAGGCGTGTGTGTGTAGTGGTGGTGGTGGTGGCAGGGGGGAACCAGGAGGCTAGGAA